CATCTATGGCTGCCCTAGTTTTCAAGCTCAGGTTTGTGTATTTCTATCTTGCTTATGTTTTGGATCGTCCATATTAAGATAAACAACTTTACGTGTTATGTACGTGTATTTTATTGCATGGCTTAAAGTTTACTTGACATTAAAAAAAAAAAAAAAAAAAAAAAAAAAAGTTTGTCTAGAATTCACCTTTAACTTCAACTACTTGTATCGGATTCTTAACATTCGTATATGGGTTGAAAACACTTCTAAATTCCAACCCTTTATATTGGGCTGATGTTAAGAGAAATTTTCACAAAATAACTTAATCGGATACATAGACACATACTTTTATTAGACCTCTATGTTTGTGTAACATAAATTTTGTACTACCTATATTCTTCTTTGAGGTGAATTTGAAATATATAGATAGTGTTCAAAAATACCATTAAGTAAATAATGCTTCTTATAAATTTCAAAATTAAATAAACTTCACAAATACTAGTATCTTGGTAAGTTTCTATCTTACTTGTTTAGATACTGTTGAGTATTGATCATAGATTCATAGGGCTGCTAGATAATATTTCGAATCTATTTTTTTTTTTTTAAGTACAATTATACATTCTTGTTTTATGATTAGGACTTTTAGCAGGGTTATTTAAAGCAAGATTAACAAATGATGTGACAATATAATTTCACGTATTAAATAATCTTTTTTTAATGATTAGCATTTTTAGGAGGGTTATTATACAATCTCAAATTTGTTTAATGGGACGGGGGGATAGATGTTCTAATTGGTTAGCAAGCTTCCTTGTATATTTCTATAAATTTGTCAATTATATCAATTGGTAAGATTCGATTCTCATGCTCATCCATCCAGATACAAAAAAAGTGACCGAATATGATATGAAACATTATTGTACTGTTACCGAATATTAGGGTGTTTCTATTGTGTGAAACCTACATGCAATACCACTATACTAGCCAAGTAATCAAGCAGACAAGCGTAGTAGCTATCAATAAGATTTTTAAATCCTTCATTGACTTCATCCTCTTAACAAGGTTAAAGAAATGAATCTATTCACATTCTTAGTAAGATAGTGATGGGACTACATAGTTGGTTTCAAAGAAGCATCCCTAACTTTTTTAGTACATCACACTTGAAAAGAAAAGAAAAATGTTGGAGGACAATGACATGCATAAAAAAAATCACTTTCTAACAAACCTAATTGTAACTTAAAAGAGTTAGACACGTTTAGGAACTGTTTTCTTTCAATTACTGATATATCATACAACATTGTTATAACACACTTGTCAGAAGCTAGTTAACCTTGGAAAATGCCAATTCTTTGTAAAATTAACACCTTTCACATTGAAACACCACGTACGAGTACTAGTTAATGTTCTTTCCTTATCATAATGAGATTATGAAACCAATGTGATATTGGCTTAGTAGCACAAATTGATAGCTTATGTACGATAGGTTATAGGTTCAAACTTCTCCTTTCTATAAATAACGTATAATAAGTGACCTTGTTGTTTATTTGGATAAACAATAATATTAATAAAATGAAATTACTAAATCTTGTTTGATATATGGAGGGGAGTTGATTGACTGACTAGACTTAGAATCTTAGAAAAAAATTGTGTTCATATTTTAAAGGTTCAATACTTTTTCTTGTCATATCGATTGTAGTGGTCAAGAAACTCGTGGTAGGACTGCAAAAATTAGAACAAGGCACAAACTTGAGTCTTTGGTCAAAGAGGCAAAGCTTGAATTTTGAAGAGAGAGTGACGTTGTTTGGTTTTTGTTATAGGAGAGACTAACTATTATTGTTTTGATGGTAAATTTTAGATTTGGTTGTTGGATAATCAAACAACAATGAAATTAAAATGAATCTCTTAGTTTGCTACTACTTTGACTAAATATTGATATTTTGTAGCTTCTGTGAACATAGCTGTAAATCCATAGTAATTAGGAAATAATCTCTCTATTAGTCAAAGATCAATATAAATAAAGTTATATACGTTTGAAGTTTTGAACATTTCGAGATCCATAGGAAATAATTGTTGTTTTGAAATATTTTATTCATTATCCAGACTTGGGAATTTCGAGATCGTTAAGAAAAATTATTGATGTTATCGTGGAATGATTTTATACATTATCCATGACTTAATTGGAAAAGTCGATACAAGTTTCTGTAAACTTGTTCTTTACAACTCTCCAAATAACTTCACTAGAAGATAATTTGGGTGTAATCCTTGTTTTATACGGAGTTATAACTTAAAAAATGTCTCCATACTTGTATATGTCAATTACTCTAACGCATGCCTCGTTGAAAGAATTCAAGCAATATAGACCAAGGCTATTGATAAAAGCCACTTCCCAATACTCTAAATATCTAGTTGTGTACTTATTACAACTTTAGATATTGCTAAGTTTAGAATTAGCACTAAATCGATATCCCTTAAATCATAATTCAGTAAATTCAGTGGACATAACGCTTGATGAGATGTTCACACTCTCTTCATCGAGGTTGAAAATGATTTCTAGATTAGTGATTTGTAATTATGCAATTAAGGTTGAAATTGTAACGGTAATTATGCATATAGTAAAGGACACGTTCAAGACATTCATTCCGTGCGACGACTTTACTTTTACAATTTTTCAATAGCCACCTAACACGTAAGTCAACCATTACTTGACCCACTTAGTGATCTTCTTAGTTCAACGTAATCATGCATCATTGATACGAAATGGTACTTCATACAAATTGATTTGAAAATTTTGGGGTCTACCACAACTTATCCCAAAAAATCGTAAATAGATTTAACAGACATTTACATTATTGGATAATTAATAACCACTCATTTTTTACACTTGTTGTCCCACCTTTACACACTCTCATGTTGTCTTAATTATCGTGCAGATAATAAATGTTAACCTTTAAATGTAACGGGGTTGTATATAAATTGCGTACAATTTATCGAGTTCTTTTAAAGATTTGGGTTAAATTAACTTATACAGCCCTATAAGTTCAGTCTTGTGTAATCGAAACAAGGCAAGATGAGACCTTTGTTGTTCTTTGAACCCAATTACCCAAAATTTTCTAATTATATGGAAAAAACAATTAATCATATAGTTTTACATGCAGATGAAATCACTACTGGAGAAAAGCAAGTCAATTATACTCACAGGACATTCTATAGGAGGAGCAATAGCATCACTAACAGCATTATGGCTTCTCTCCTACATTCAAACCATTCCTTCACCTCCACAAATCCTTTGTATCACCTTTGGTTCACCCCTCTTAGGCAACAAATCCCTCTTGAAATCGCTCCTCCGACAAAGATGGGCAGGAAACTTCTGCCATGTTGTGCTTAAACATGATATAATTCCGAGGCTTCTCTTTGCACCCTTAGCTCCCATCAACACTCAACTCCATTGCTTGCTTAAGTTAATCCAGTTGTCGATAACATCTCAATCTGAGCAACTACCTTTTAATGTAACTGATGAAATAAAGGATCAGTTGTTTAGATTTGTACTGGCTTATACTGAGGCAGTAGCAAAAGAATCTGCAGAAAATATGGAAATTCCTGCAGGGTTATACTGGCCTTTTGGAAATTATTTGTTCTACTCGGAAGAAGGGACTGTCTGTGTTGACAATGCTGATGCTGTTGTTAAGTTGCTGTATTTGATGCTTGCAATGGGCAACTCAGGATCGTGTTGCGAGGATCATTTGAAGTATGGTGATTGTGTAGAGAGAATGTCCTTCCAATTTCTGATGAGAAGAGGGTTTATACATGAAGATGTTCCTGCGTCGAGCTATGATGCAGGGTTAAAGTTGGCAGTAGAGTCATCAGGATTAGCAAGTCAGGTACTTGATTTATAAATTTGACATGAAATTTGATTTTAACATCATATATTTCCTTCAGCTTACATACTTTTGGCCTGCTTTGCAGGAATCAGTTTCTAGACAAGCCGAAGACAGCTTAAAAATGGTGAAGCAAACAGGTTTGACTCCTAGTCTCAACAGTGCAAGACTTGCTATAGCTCTTGCCAAAATAACACCTCACAGAGCACAGATAGAGTGGTATAAAGCATCCTGTGATGAGTCGGAGAATCAAATGGGATACTACGACTCTTTCAAGCGAAGAGCGTCGAAAAGAGACTATCAAGTTAACTTGTTCAGAATCAAGCTAGCAAGTTTTTGGGATAATGTGATCAATAAGATTGATAACAATGAACTTCCTCATGATTTTCACAAAAGGCGGAAATGGGTGAATGCTTCTCACTTTTATCAGCTTCTGGTTGAGCCATTGGATATTGCAGAGTATTACAGAAGTGGTGAGCACTTGAAGAAAGGACATTACCTGAGAAATGGGCGAGAGAGAAGACATGAGCTTTTCTCAAAGTGGTGGAGGGAGAAGAATAATGCTGTTGAAGAAGAGAGCAAGAGGAGCAAGCTTGCGAGTTTAACACAAGATTCGCGTTTTTGGGCACATGTGGAAGAAGCTAGGGAGTTGCTTGAGAAGATTAGGCAAGAGAAAAATTCAAGCAATGTGGCTCAATTATTGCAGGGAATTGATGAATTTGAGGGGTATGCAAAAAAATTGATAGGCAACAAAGAGGTTTCATCTGATGTCCTAGCAAAGAATTCAAGCTACAGCATGTGGGTAGAGGAGGTTAGAGAATTGAGATTACAAATGCAGCAATTCCCACAGTTGCCGAGTTTTGTAGATGCTGAAATGGTTCCTAGGCAGTAGGCATAGTTGATCAAGTATGGTCTGGCCCAAAACTTTGCTCATTCGGACCATATCCTGGGGTGTGGTGGTGTGGCCTGACCCTGATCACAATTTTCTGACAGACCTTTTTCTGGAATGGCCTGATTTCTCAGGCCAATACTTAGCTCTATATTAGTGCGATGTATAAACATAAGTAAATAGAAAGCAAACTCAATTTCCACTATGATGTACTCATTAGTTGTTGTCTAAATACTACTTGCAGAACTTATGATCAGATTCATGCCAAGTCTGGCCAAATGTTTATACTAATAAAAACCGTAAATTCGCATAATTGCCACTGTAGTTATTACACAACAAATGCATAGCATGATTTTCATTTGTTAAATGAAGTCCAGATCAACTCATACCCAACAGAAGTATCATACTCTGTAACAATTTTATACCCCCTTTTTCCCCCCTATTACAAGATCTGTTAGGCATTAACAAAATTATACAACAATTTTCACGTATGAATCTTGTTGTTGGCTGATCGGAGAACAAAGGTAGTAGAATACGTGTAAAACTATATTGCTTACAAGAAGAGAGAAGATTTTCAAAATTTGCCGTTTTGGCCATCAATATTCCTAACTGGCCCCTTGAACCATTTCCTAGCATCTACAACCCACCAAAGCATAATCATACCCAAAACTACACCCAAAGCAGCAGGTGCATAATTGAAAGTGTCCCATTTGATAGGGTAATAAGTAGGTAAGAGAAAGACTGCACAGGTGTAACAAATCCATAAAAATGCAACTAAGCAAACTGGCCTGCTCGCTCTCCCAAGATAAAATGGCCCAGGTCTGAAGTCATTTTCCGCCATAACCATCCTTGCAAAGATTGGAACTGCATAGCCACCAACCCACCCGATTGTGCAAATTGATGTTATGGCTGTGAAGACAACATTGAGTTTGAGTATGGGTAACCCAAGAAGAATGCAGATAGCTGCACAGAGCCACACTGCATTAGAGGGAACTTTATGCTTTGGGTGCACTTTTCGCCAAATGGTTGAAAATGGGACTCCTCCATCTCTAGATAATGCATATACCTGATCAAGAATATATGAACATTTATATAGTGTATTTCGTGAAAGTTTGAAGAAATTGGATGGAAAATATGAATTTATGAAGAGGATATGAGAAATGAAGGGGAAAAGAGGAAGCCTACAAAAACAGAATTAATGTCTTTTGTAAGTTCATTTAATAGACTGCTAAGAGAAGTCTCGTTCTTTTACTAATGCATTGAAGTAAGGACTGTGTTACTTACAACCCTGGCTGCACTTGTAGTGATAGAAAGCCCAGCAAAGAAAAATGATCCCCAAATGATAATAAGCATGATAATTGCTCCAGTAGCATTGTGATATCTTCCATGAAAAGCATCATAAAGTATTTGGGCCGGTACAAATGCTCCTGCAGTCTCGTTGTTTGGATCATATAGGTAGTTCAAATCCTGAATGGTAAGGTAAGGTCCAAGATTACACTTTAGAAATGATAACACATTTCTAACAATATCAGAAAAATATTCAACCAGGGACTAATTGAAAGATTTAACTTTCGAAGTCAAAATCAAATAGAACTAAGATATTAAGATCCTACTAAAGTCTAACAGACTCCATTATAGAAAGTGAATGCAGATCTTAAGTTATTCTCTTTCATATGCTTAGTTAGAAAGTTCCATTTTTTGGTGGACTAGAATTTAAAGGTGTTCAGCAACAATTTGATTGATTCTCTGTATCCAGAAATAGAATTTGCAAGTGCTACTCATTACTGTACTATCTTCTTTATTCAGTTACTCAGAAATAAATACTTGAAAAAAGATACTTGTGAACTAGAACAAGTTACAACATATACCTGAATGCTGAAGGTGAGGGTCAGGATATATGCCCATCCAATAACTGAAATGATGCCTAAACTAGAAAGAATTGCAATGGGTCCATTTTTATCTGCTCCTTTGGTCTCTTCAGTAAGATGAGCAGCTGCATCATATCCATAAAGTGAATATTGGCTAACAAGTAGGGATAACATGACTGCATATGCATGATTTGTTACCCCTGTTGAGCTTGCCATTTCAAAATGAGAGAAAACAAAAGAGGCTGGCTTCGTAGTCATAGCCACCAGAGGAAGCATAATAATAATAACCGCGCCACCAATCATCTACAAGAAAAAGATATTGTTATGCTAAATTCATGATGATGAAAATTCTGTGATTATTTTGTACATAGCAAGAGATTATGGAATTCACCTGCCACCACAATGATATTATGTCAAGGATAGCAATGACCTCCAAGGCAAATGTGTTGAGCACAGCCCATATGAGAGTGAGTCCTATATAAATGCATAAAAACAGCCATTTTGGGGCAAAGTATCCTCCACCTTTGTTTGTTCCAGTGCACAGCAATATAATGCTCTGCAGAACTTCTGTTCCTGCATAAGCCTGCAAAACAACCCATGAAAACAACTTGTTCTGAGGTCTTGAACCAATCCTTTTGATGAGTGAAGCTCTTAGGTTTCAGAGTAAATTACTTACCTGAGTACCTATGCCAGCAATAAGACCTATAGTCTCAAACCATGCACAGCACCAAGATGCAAATGGCCCCCATTTCGGCCCTGCTAAATGTGCAGCCCAAAAATAAAGAGAGCCTGTTGTCTGTTAAATAGATAATCAAGAGATTGTTAGTCTTTGTAACTCAAGGACAGTGCATGAGACTAAAAAAAAATATGAAGTACTATGTGTATATATTCTAATAGTTTACAACCTGCTCATAAGTACTACATCTTGTTACCTTCATGGATAATTTTGGGGTGAAAAAATCATGACAATAGAACACAGAACTTTCTAGTAACTTATTTTTTACGAACTGAACTTAAGTTCAGCTCTTAATTTTGTTTGTATCAAGACTGATTATAGGCATATACTTGATACCCTAAACCAAGTCTAAACTATAGTAGTGAGTGACATCAATCAGCCACGGTTCATAATCCAAAAATAGAACTACTTAACAGGATAACACACTATAAGTATGATACTATGATCTTTGCAACCGAGTCCAAGGGTTTCTGAAACAGTTGGAAAAGAAAATATTTTCTTAGAAAGTCAGGGTAGTCCAACATATTCAATTCCTTGTTGAAAAAACAAATTCAAGAAAATTTATTGATTTTCTGATAAGAAGACAGCCTTGCTCCCACTCCTAACTCAGTTAAGATTAATATAGAAATTGTTTACGAAGAAATAGACTGTTACATACTATATTAATCAGACTCGGGTACAATTACAGGGCACAGATACTTGTCCAAGTGTTTGTTTCAGCTATTCTATGAAAATTATGATTTTGGTCCAAAATGAAGATTAGCATTCTATTTTGGATTTTCCGTCAAGGATTTGACACGAGTACTCGAGGTGAAACGAAGAGTCCGGAGTAAAACAAGTCATACATATCATTAATCCTAAACAACACAGTAATTTACACAGTGAAAAGAACCAATCATATGCAAGAACAAGAATCAGAAAGAGAAAAACAGAGGAGAGAGAAAATATACGCTGACTAACCGGAAAAGAGGAGCAAATCTCAGACATAGCAATACCAACAAATCCAGTAAAGAAGGAAACAACAACCCAACCCCAAACAAGACTAGCAGGCCCAGCATATTGAAGACTTGAACCAAACAGGGGAGTTATCCCTGTAAAAAGTGACATTGTTGAGAATGATATTGCCAATGTTTTGAACAAAGTCTGCAAATTCAAAACCAAAAATTAGTTCTAAAATTTCATTGATGCATTTCAACAAATATTTTATAGGCATGCAAGATTAAAGATTGAATCTTGAAGTAAAATTTAATGGTCTAACCATTTCTCTTCTGAGTTCTTGTTTGTAACCAAGCTCATTGAGCCGTTTTTCTCCAGAATCAATTTCTGGGTGTTTCTCCATTGGATTAAAACTTGGTTTTTTACAGAAAATTTGAGAAACCCAGCTTTAGAAGTTGAGTTTGAAGCTGGGTTTCTTCGGTTAAGAGGAGAGAGAAAGAGTTTAGAGAGAAGGGTTGACTGATGCAAATGATTTGAGACCAGCTTTGCTGCGCTTCATTTAATGTTCTTAATAATAGTCCCACCTTGACACATAAGAGTAATAAAAAAAAATACAATAATATTATAATTTTAAGAGATTGAGTTGATTCTCATAATAACTAGATATATTATTCTCTAATTGAAATAATTGTCGTATTATTCCTATATTTTATGATTGTATTGATATGCATGCTATGAAGATTTATAAAACTTATTCTAACTATAATGAAAAAATTCGAGCTCGTGAACTCAAAGTTATAATTATATGGATTATGGAGTAGTATATTTTTTAAGGAAAATTAAAAGTAGTACGAAGTATTACATTTCTTTAATATGTAACTGTTACCAATTACGGTTAAATTCATGTTAAAGATTAGAGGTCATGGGATTAAACTTCAATAGAGACAAAGTTGAAAGAGTATATAAAGGTTCTTGAATGAAAATCCCATATTGACCTTTGTCGATTAATCTAACCGTTACGGCGTTACCCCTTGCCAATGATTTTTTTTCCGTGTTTTAGAATACGGTTATACCATATTAAGAAAAAACAAAAGGGACACTTCTACTCCATAATTGGATCATTCAATTCGGGTAAACAGTTCGAGTTTGGGTTTGGTTTATCAGTTTCAGGTTATAACGGGTCGGTTTATAACGGGTTGAAATGATTAGCAAGTTGGTTTGGGTCGGTTTTGAAAATCATCGGGTCAGTTCGGTTTGGTTTTTTTTATTGCGGTTTCTATTCGGGTCAGGTTGTAATTGGTTCGGGTCATAATCAATTTGGGTTGAACCGGGTTGGTTTGAAAACGGGTTTAGCCAGTTTAAAGTGGGTTTCGGTTCAAAACAGTTCGGGTTCTAATCGAGTCGGGTTGTAATCGGTTCGAGTCATAATCAGTTTGGGTTAAATCGGGTCGGTTTGAAAATGGATTTCGGTTCAAAATGGATCGGGTCCAGACATTATTGGTTGATCAGGTCATAATTGGTTTAGATTGAATTTGGTCCGTTTGAAAATGGGTTTACCCAATTTGAAGTGGGTTTCAGTCTAAATCATATTGGGTTAAAATCGAGTCGAATCATTATCGAGTCGAGTTAGTCAGATAATAGGTAGGAATGGGTCATGTTATGATCAAGTTAAGTCATAAATAAGTTGGTTTTATCGAGTAGTGGGTTGAAACGGATCAGATCATAAATATATTGGATTACGGGTTGTAAACGACTCAGTCATAATGGGTTACTGGTCATAAATGGTTTGGTCTCAACGGGTTACGGGTCATAAACAGTTCGGTCTCAACGAGTTACGGGAGGAAGCGGTTCGGTCATAACGGTTACTGGTTATGAATGGTTCGATCACAATGGGTTACGGGTTGGACCGGTTTAGGTTTATCGGATTTTTGCTGGGTTTAAACGGTTTTTGGTTTAGAATGGCTCGGGTTACTATCGAGTTTAGACGTAATCGGTTCGAGTTATTTTCAGTTTCGGGTTGTAACGATTTGGCTTGATAACGGGTCGGGTAAGTAACGGTTTGCACAAATTTGGGTCAGTTTAGTTTCGGGTTAGAAAAAATTGGGTCGGGGTCGAATTTTCAGTTTCCAAAAAACAGGTTAAAAACCATTCAGTTCCTTTACGAATTAGTTCAAAATAATCGAGTTTAATGATTCGGGTTAGAAACTGATAGATCTAATCTCATCCACCTTAAAAACTGTTACGGAGTACTAGCTTATAAAAAAATATAATGTTACTTACTAGCTTCGTTTGACAAACCCCTTATGGAATAGCGTGGGGAAACGAGGTGTTTTTCACCATGCTGCCAAATTTGAAAAGTCGTTACTTGGCTTTTTTTTGAAGATTTGGTTTTAACGGTCCAATCAACTCTATTGCTAAAATGACTGTTAAAAAACATTCAGATCAACAACTTAATGGGAACCGGCACTCCCCAAGCTCACATAGTCACATATATTGATTTTTTTCTACTTGCTTCCTATGGGGAAAAAATCAATACTTTCTAATAACTACATTTAATTGGTGGATATTCGCTCACGTATGAAAAATAATAATGAATATTATGAATGATTAGATTTTCAATGTATCTTTGACATCATATAAATAAAGTGATGGACAAAGAAGACATAAAAGAGAAATTCAAAAAAAAAAAGAAAAAAAAAAAAAGCAATCTATCATATAAACAACTTTCTAGTAAAATCAAAGTTAGGACTCGTTTGGTTGTAATGGGAATTAACTTTCCATGGTAATTTCCAATTCATGGGAAATTATTTTCCTCCTCAAAAATTCCTAGGAAGTTGCTTTAGTTTGTTTGGTTAGCATTAGGAAAATCACAATTCCTAGGAAATTTGAATGACCTAGGGAGAACATAGGTAAATGAATTCCCACATTATGTGAGAAATTGGAATTCCTAGGAATTTCTATTTCCTTCATTTAGCAATTTTTTGGTTAAACCAAACAACATTTCATCAATGTATAGGAATTTTGAGTGCCTACATAATAGTGATGCAACCAAACAAGGCCTTATTATTTAATTATAAAGGATTGAGACTGGGCTTGAGCCAATGTGACGAATACTACTTTCGAATAGAATGAATAATTTTCGTGGATCCACAAATGTGCAGTGCACTAAATTTTTTTTAGGGAGAATATATGTATAGCAAAATTTCTATCCATTTCATATCAAATTCAACATAAGAGATTTAGATATTTTGTGCTTAGTATAGAGTTGTAGACAGATGATGATTGAGAATCAGTCAGCCAATGCGGCTATTATTCAATCATCATAGAACAAATAACCATATGATGCAATAAATAAACCTCTTTGTAACATCGGTCACTAGTCATCGTTAGTCTTACGCAACAATCAAAAGGAGAATATTGTTATTAGAGAGTGGTTAATGGACATACTCATACATTATGTCATTATAACTTTACGAGTACTTCTCCACTTGACTTCAACTTGATCTATTACGGAGTAATAAATATTGTACCTTTCGATTTTAAGATTATTGATAAAGTTCAATTCTCTCATTAAGGGTACTTTAGGGTGCAGATATCTTGCATTTCTTTCCACTCCCATAAGGTCTGATGAGATGCAAATTAGAGGTGAATTGATGTAAAATTCCGACTCCATTAAACGATTCTTTTCAAATACTATTAATAAAAATTCATTCATTAGCTAATAATGTCCTCTCTCGAATATGTTCCATATGCTTTTTATGTTTTGGGTTTGTGGTTGACAGTTTGGCACCAAAGTGTCAATTAGTTTCCATCAATAGCACTTGCACAAATTGTTTAAAGTTAACCTCTTTAATTTGTAGACCATAGTAACAAAAGCTTGTTGTCTAAGTAGACTAGAACTATATCTACCTGTCCTTTATTCCAAAGAGCATTTGTAAGGAGATACTCTAAACCTTATAGCTCACTAAAAGAATAAACCATTAGAAGTCCCCCTTAAAATCACCCATACACTAATGACAAATCATTTAGATGACTATAATAGTACTGAAATAAAACATCTACTGATCTACTAGTATACATATTTCTATAAGTGATAAAGTTTACCGTTCATGTATTTCATGAAATATACACATTTGAGGTTGGACAAACATTGTTTAAGACATTGTCATTTTGAGCAGACAATTTAATAATTTAAGGTTGAATTCCGTGCACGTATATATAGATATGTTTAAAAAAAAAAGTTGGAGTTGTGATACTAACATTTAGTCAAAAATGAGTACTAAATTTACTAGATGATGTAACAATATTACTAGTATAATGAGTCACCGTTAGTCTTACGCTACAATAAAAATAAGATTAATCTAGTTCGGAAGTGGTTAAAAGACAAGCATCATGTGGACTTCTCTACTTGCCCCAATAAATATGGGTAGGAAATTTATTTTAGGAAGCTTTACATGTTCATCAACATAAAAATATTATGGTCAACATAATGTCATTAAAATAAGCTCCTTGTTGAAGTGTGTAGGGATCTTAAAGTTGCTAATGTAAATGATGTAATATGCTTCTCTTCCAAAGGGGTATTTTTTGACTTTTAGCCATTATTTGAAAATGTCCATGTAAAGACTTTTACTAAAAGAAATCCATACATAAATAATGATTGAGATAGATTAGACTTTTGTTGTGTATGTTTTTGTCTATCAATTGAGACTTGTTCTATCTCTTTAAAGAGGTTTCAGGGTGTTCATGAGTCCGAATAGGTGCATATCCGGTAGGAGAAACCGAGGAAGCAATTCCCATATGGACTTGTTCATAAAAAAAAAGTGACTGATGTTTGTATTGCTGTAATCTCTTTGGTAAGGAGGTTCACTTTACACTAGATCTATGGATCTTACATAAGAACTACACACAAAGTCCATGTCTCCTTCTAGAGGAATGCAAAATCCCCAAATAATCTCCAGAATGGTCATCCTTTTTTTCCAGTTAGGGCAAATGGTTAACATCACTACTAGAAGTTACCATTTGGTTCATGTTAATTTCGCAGCCAATAATGTAACTACTACGTATGATCTAAAAGAATGAGGACACGTTATAGAACACAAATTTGGGACACAAGAGTCACTTTTCCTCAACAGTTGATTCATGTAATATATATCATCACATACAGAGACTAGAAGATTAAGTACTATCTCTGCATTGAGATCTTGTGTAGTTTGTGACAGGCACCGAGAGCCATACATGCTAGTAGAATTGAAAACTTGTTATAATGCAGATACTAGCAGCACACAAAGGAGATAGAGCAAATAATGCTAAATCTGGATCTTGTTTCCAAATTGTTGTTCTCAGAAAGAATGTAATTAGATGAGCAATAAGCTGTAAATTTCAAGGATGTATGAGAATATACATTATAACCAGGGTGAGAAGAATGTGCAAACGAGTTTTATGTAGAAGGTGCAGCATCGAAGGAATGAAGTACTTGTTCCAGTATTGTTCTCGTATGGTTGTCAAGAGGACTGTCTGGCTTGTCGACATGAGATATGTTTAACAAGTAGAGTTTCTTTCTAGAGACA